ATCACGTCAGTCTAACACACTGAAGGTCTCCGGTTCGAGTCCGGGCGACGCCATATTTAATTCTGTTTTGAAGTTCTTCCTTTAAGGCTCTGTTTGCTGGGGTCTCGCCTTTAAGGAAAACAAAAATTTGAAAACTTTTAATTTGATTAATTTAATAACCTGTGAGATCTGATCCCCGCAGTGATCATTGCAAAAATGGCCAACAACTTCCATTTTAAATCACCTCAATATATATTTATATCTTTATTTAATCTCTTCAATAAAAACAACGTCACGAATTGAGTCACAGATTCGCAGTGTGAGCTAAATTGCCTCAGGTTTCATGCACGCCAAAAGGCTGAAGCATATTCATCTTTATAATATTTTGTCAAAAATGAGTTTCCTTATTAATAAAAATATAAAATTTCAGCTCACACAAAAAAATGTTAAGTCAAAGCAAACATTACGTGGCATGAGCGGCGGGTCCCTAGCTGCACGCATAATAAATTATAGAGTTTTATTTTTATTTATATTAATCTTTTTGTATTAATATTTGGTATTATTAGTAGTATTAATCTTTTGTTTTATGGTGGGTGGGGCGGCACTAACATAGTTACATCTCAGGGGAAGCCTGTTTCAATGGAAGGAGTGACGTCAAGCTCCACGCTCTTAAATGTTGACATTAAAATAAAGTAACGATTTCTGTCCTGCTCATATTGAATTGATCCGTTTCTCCATTGTGTTTCGTTCGTGTTTATAGTTGAATGATTAATACTACCTCAGTATTGAATATATTTTGTATTTTGATCAATTACAATTTACTAAGAAATTCAAAGTACTTTAGACTAAAGTATTTTCATTTAAAGGTAAAATTGCTCCTTACTAATTGTTTCTTTGTAAAGGTAAAATTGCTCCAAAAGATTTTTAATTGATGAAAATAAATTATATTTGTTTATTTTATTTTTAAAATATTATTTTTAATTTTTTATTATTAATATTAATAAGATTTATCTAATTGTAAATATATAACAATTCTAATTGCATTGGTTGACCTTCATTAAATATAGTTTTTATTATAAAACGATAACATTTATCAAATTCGTAAATGAGAATTCTAAATGTATTGAATAAAATTTATTAAAAATATGTTTTTTATTTTAATTGTATTGAATAATTTATAAATTAATATTACAATATTGTAATTATATATAATTGAAACATTAATTGTCTTTTAGCTATAATTAATTTTACATATTTGAAAAAATATTTGACATTCAAGTGTAAAGTACATGACAATAAATATTAATTTTAAACATTACTAATAACGTGATACCAAATTTAATAAGTTAGTGAATAAATGAATTTCATAGACATTTAAATATTTGACTTATTAATTAGTATATGATATTCTACTTAAAAAGTAAAGTTTGAATATCATTTCCTTCATAGATTAACCTTAAATTTTTAATTTATTATTAAATACTCACATTGAAAATGCAAAATCACTAGTTTTTTTTTTACAATAATAATAAATTTAACAAGTGAATTTAGATGTTAAATAGTTCATTTATGAATTTATACAATAAAAGATAATGAAAACAATAATAACAAAAGGCTTTTGAAAACATAACATGGTTACCTTTTTGTACTTCTTTTAGTGTTGGTTTCGTAATTTGAATTTATAATTTTTTTTCCCCTATGAATAAAGAAATAAAAGTTCACGTTTAACTATAGATGAGTTTATGAAAAAGTTCGAAATTTCATGATGAGGTATTACCTCAATGGTAATTATTGAATTTTATGGCTACATTTTAAGTTTAAGCCTTATTTTATGCAAGATTTTCTCTAATTATATATTAATGTTTATTTATTTATTTTAAATGTTTTACCTGTATATGTCAAGAGTTATTCTATGGTACAAATACAAAATAACAATGATTTGAAAATTTTTAAGAAAAAAAAAAGATAAAAAGTTTGGATTTATCACTTTATTTAAGTTGATAGATCAAAATTTTCACACATCTTTAAACGGATTACATTTTATCACTATATTTATTAATTTGATTTAAAAATAAATAAAAGTTAGAATATTTTGTAAAATATTTTTTTATTTTTAATGAAATAATTTATAAGGTTAATTTTGAATTAGAAAATATGAGAATAAAATTACATCAATTTAAAGATGAATGTTAAATTTAATTCATCACCTAAACTAAAATGATAAATTTGAACCTTATAAAAAATGTCGAGAAAAAGTCAATGATTTTACAAATAACAGGTGGATAGGAAAAATGACGCAGGGCCAAGAACATTCTAGAATAAGCTATTTGAATTTCCTAACTTAGTAAAACTTATGCCAAAATTTGACGCAGGGTGCGGCATACGAGAGCCAGCAAGCCACTCGAAGCTCCCATTGGCCAACGGTCAAATCGTCTCACTTCTGACTCCTCTGACCGACGGCTTTGAGCCGCTGAATGTTCAAAGGAGAAAATTCGGTTTCCCACTCTCAATCAGGCAAGTGAAATTTACCGTCTGCCTCAAAGCGTGTCTCCAGTGGTGCAATTTAATAACAGTGAGAATGAGATTCCACCACTGCCCGTGGATTTACCTTTCCTAAAT